CCCCAGCCAAGCCACTCAGTGACACAGCCCAGAGAGTTGAGGGTCAGAGGGGACAGGGCATGTGTCCAGCAGGGTCTTGGCAGGAAAGAGATGGCACACTCAAAAATCAGGTCACTAGAGGAGGATCGAGGGCCCCTAAGGGATGGCACAAGGCTAGTGAGCTCAGGGCTTCGCCACTCCTGGGCCTGGGCAGGAGGGAAGCGGGCAGCTACCTCAGCCTGGAGACTGAGAAGGCAGTAAGGAAAGGACCACCTGACAGTGGCAGGGACTTGAGTCAGTGAAGGAAAAAGGTCAGTGCAAGAGCACCCCGCAGGGAGGGAGCCAGGAATGAAGTTCCCCCTCCATGGCCCTCCCGCTTCCCACCTTCTGCTGCTGCTCTGTATTGGAAGCCAGTCAAGGGAGCCCAGTGATATCACCCAGACAGGACCACCTCTTGGGGTGCAGAGCAGGAGGAGACAGGAGCTGATCTGGAGGGACGAGCAGGAGCCATCAACCCCGGGATGGACGATGGGCTTGCTCTCTGAATACAAAAAGCAGCTCTGTCCATCACACTCACTGCCTCAAAAACTTGCCGTGGCCTCCCACTTCCTACAGAATAAAGCTCAAGATCTCCAGCCTGGCAGTCAAAGCTCTTCACACTCAGACTCAGCCTGCTTCTCAGGCCCCACTACAGGTACTTCACATCTTCTGCACAAGAGACTCTAACAGTCTTTCATCATCATCTCCATTTGCCCAGCAGCACATAGGTGGCAAGTGATGGAGCTGGAATATGGGCCCAGGTCCCCTGGATACCATCCTACCATGTCAGAAGCGATACAGCACAGACAGCTGGAACACGGTCCCTTCACCAAACCTGCGCTTTCCCCACGGTAAGGATGTCATAACGTGTGGAGGGGGAAGTGTGAAGAGAAGGCCGGGAAGGAGCTGGGAAGGTGAGGATTGCATATGCTGGTCTAGAAGCTCTTATTTCACCCTCAGGACCACCCTCCTGGAATTATCATCTCTGGTTAGAGTTGAGACACCTTCATTCTTTCATTTCAGCATCTTTAAGGGATTTATCCATGGTCAAATATGAGTCACTGCCAGAGCCAGGGTTTGACTGCAAAATCAGCTAGCAGCCAGGCAGCACTGTCCCTCTGCACGGTGGCACCTACAGTCCTTGGTCCCTCGTTTCCACCGCGGCCTAGTGTTAGCTCTCTCTGAGCACCTGAAATTCTCTTTGCTAATCAGGCGTATCTAAGACCCCAGTTAGAATGAAAATACGTTACCTGGAAAGAACGGCATGCTGATCCAGTGGTTTCTGACCTCCTAGAGAGTTGGCAAAATTGTGTGTGTGTGTGTGTGTGTGTGCACGTACATGCATGAGTGTGTGATCTGAAGGGCGCAGGTGCCCAAATACCATTAGAGATTAACTCCTTTATCTATATCCACTGAATCTGAGTGTTGAATGCGGTGTGTGTGTAGAGGAACTTTCCTAGAAAAAAATGAGGACAGAAGCCTGCTATCAGGGAGGGCAGCCAGATGATGGTTCACCATGGGGAAGCTCCCTCATGAGTGCCCTGGAAGGCAGCACAGGAAATAGCCTGTTCGGATTGGGAGGAGGATTCTAGAGAAGTAGGCTCTAGCTTGGGTGGTCCACTTGCATTGCTGTGTCTACAGGAAAGTTGCTTGCCCCCAACCCACAACCTTGTTTTCCTTCCCTGTGAAGAGAGGGGTGGAACTAGAGGCTTATTCCGTGCTCCAAGACCCTGCAGCCCAACAAAAGGCCCATTTTCCCTTTGTTAGTTACTCAGATGCCAGGGAGAAGGGCTCCCACTTCTTGTGCTTCCCCAGTCCAGCTGGGGCAGAATCATGGGGACTGCAGAGGGCACTGCTGGGACAAGACCTCCTCCTGGGGGTCCTGTATCCCATGCCCATTACTAGCATGCTGGGGGCAGCCTGTCTTCTGACAGCTGTGTCTCCCACCAGCGCAGTTCATTTGCTGCCATTCCTGGGATGTGACAGCAACTTGAAGCAAAGCAATTAGGATGAAAAAGAGGCCCAGCTGCTTGGGGCCAAAGGAAAATAAACAGACCAGCCCTGTGTGTATTCCACCGCCAAGAGGAGCCATTCTTCACAGGATGATTAGCATTTCCAATCCCAGCTTCCTCCCTCCCCTTGGAAGAAGGGATGTGACCCATGAGCTCCTGCTGTTCTCAGATCCCACTCTTCCCAGGGTGTACTGCGAACGTGACAGCTTGTCACCTCTACAGAAAAGTCTTCCCCGGCCACCTGCCACAGCCCTGCCAGAAATGATACCCCTGTCCTGTGAAATCTGGGAGTCTTTCTCTGTATCTCTTCTAGGGAGTTTCCTTGACTGACTGATCGATTCATTCATTCTTTCAACTGACATCCATTGAGTATCATTCATTCATTCAACAAATATTTCTTAAGTCCCTACTATATAAATCATCTCTTAAGCTGCCCACTCTGTTCTAGTCATTGTTCTGGGTCCTGATGAGGGAGCAGGGAACAAAACAGAAAAAAACCTCTGCCTTCATGGAGCTCAAATTTGAGTAGGAGGAAACAAACAGCAAACAAGCGAAAAGACAGCATGGAAGGTGACGCTAAGCGCTATGGAGGAAGATAAAACAGGAAAAGGGAGGAGAGCATGTAAGAGAGGGGAGAGGCAGATTTTAGGTAGGAAGGTCAGGAGAGGCCGTGGGATCGAAGTGACATCTAAGCCAAGACCTGCAGGAGGTGGGGTGGCGTAAGTGAGGCTGTGCACAGGCAGAGGGACACCGGCCACAGCCCTGAGCCGGGAGTGTGCCTGGTGCATCTGAAGAGCAACAAGATCAGAGAGGAGTGGAAGGAGATGAAGTCAGGGAGGAAAGAGGGAGGAAGTCTGAAAGGACTGGCTGTCTTTCAGAGGGAGAGCACCATGCTCTGAGTGGCACTGTGTTGCATTAGGATGGCTCTGGCTGCCCCGTGAGCACACTGAAGAGAAGCCTGCAAGGAAGTGGGCCCTGGGTGGAGGATGGGGGGTGGTGGGGGGGCAGCTTCTCTACCTCAGCCAGATAGACAGTGTAAACCAGATAGGATGATTTCAGGGAGAGGAAGGCTTGGGGTGCAGGGTATCTGGAGTCAGGGGCAAGAAGAACGTTTGTGGAAGACCGGAGAGGGCTCCAGAGAGTTGGGCTGCAGGGCTGCCACCAGGCTCAGGAAAATGCTCCCTGCAGCTTTAAGCTGTGTGGGTGGAGACCTCTCTGAAAGGAGGACTTCTCAGAGTAAACCTCTGGGCTGGGACTGAGATTTCAAACCCAGCCTTCTGAGCTCAGTAACTCCAAAGTGTTCTGTAATTTGCCCAGCTGCACCTGGCTTGTGCCCTGACACCTTCATGCAGTATAGTCAAACTGAGGTGCCGGGGAACGAGAGGCTGAGAATCTCAAGTCCTGAGTTCAAGCACCTGCTCTTCCCCTTAACTGGCTGGATGAGCCATTCTGGCTTTCTGCTGGTGTTCTCACCTGCATCCCAGGCATGGTCACCATCCCTGCTGAGGGTGGTGGCCAGTGGGGACACATGCGGGCTGTGGGTGGAGCAAAGCCTTAACTGTGCAGACCCTTAGGTAGAGGAGAAGGTGGCCTGGGTTACAAAAGCGTCCCCACACTTCCTAAGACGGAAGGAGACCCTATGGCCCTGGGTTCACAGCCAAGTTCTGCCACTTCCTAAGGAGCCTCTTCTAACCCGTGACCTTTGAGCTTTTTCCCAAACTGCGGGAGCAGGGGTGTTGCCAAACCATCTACCCCTTAAAATTCTTAAAAGCTCAAGTAAGTCAACTGTGGGAAAGCTCCCTGTGAACACTGTGTTGTTATTACGCAGAAAAGGCATCTCAGAAAGGGCTGCCCTGGATGAAGAACAACCGAATGCCAGGAGCCAGCAGGCCGGGGCTGAGCAGCCCGAAGTGCAGACAGTCCCGTGGGCTGAATGAGGGAGACTGTGAGCTGATGGCACATGATGTGGCAAGTCTCAGGCATTTGGCGCTGGTCAGGAGGCAGGAGCAAGGAGGAAAATGCTCTGTACTGTTATGAAAAGTTATCCGTAACTTGAAAGTAAGGCAAAAGGAGGACTATTCCCTTTCAATGTCACCTTGGGACTGGGTTGATCAGAGAGAGTTAATTTTCAAGGGGAATGTACCTTTGCCTTACAGTTTACCACAGAGCCCAGACTTTGTGAAGTTACATGCTAATTTACAGGCACGTGCACAAATACGTATGTGCATGTATGTGAAGATGCAAAGGATATTTGTTCAGCGGAGAACAAAAACAATCATGCTTTTGTTCTGTAAGGCAGACACCAGTTTTCTCTCTAACTTAGCAAACTTATTTCAGTGTGTCTCTTCCAACTAAATATACAAATCTGTCTCTCAAATGCTCTTTTCAATCAGCTTTGCCATTCTTTTTTTTTTTTTGAGACGGAGTTTCGCTCTTGTTACCCAGGCTGGAGTGCAATGGCGCAATCTTGGCTCACTGCAACCTCCGCCTCCTGGGTTCAGGCAATTCTCCTGCCTCAGCCTCCTGAGTAGCTGGGATTACAGGCACGCGCCACCATGGCCAGCTAATTTTTGTATTTTTAGTAGAGATGGGGTTTCACCATGTTGACCAGGATGGTCTCGATCTCTTGACCTCGTGATCCACCTGCCTCAGCCTCCCAAAGTTCTGGGATTACAGGCGTGAGCCACCGTGCCCGGCCTCTTTTTGGTTCTTATAGGTGAATTAAATAAATCTTTAACCTGTGACAAAAATAACACTTTGAGGCCAGATACAGTGTCTCAAGCCTGTAAACCCAGAACTTTTGGAGGCCAAGCAATAGGATTGCTTGAGCCCTGGAGTTCAAGACCAGCCTGGGCAACACAATGAGACCCTACCTCTACAACAAATTTTATAAAAATTAGCTAGCTGTGGTGGTGCGCACCTGTAGTCCAGCTATTCAGGAGGCTAAGGTGGGGAGGATCAAGGCTGGAGGCCAAGGCTGCAGTATTGTACCACTACACTCCAGCCTGAGTGACAGAATGAGACCCAGTATCAAAAAAAAAAAAAAAAATTACACCTTGATAGAGCCACAAGTGAGGAACTCTGTGGCTATGCTGTCTGGCTTTGGACTAGTGGGTCAGCTTCTGCTACAAGAAGAGGGTGCCCAGGTACTAGGCTCAAGGTAGATCTGGAGGGGAAAGGCGGATGTGAAAGGACCTTGCACATCATTCACAAGTTGCAAAAGTAAGGGTTTATTGTTGAGACTAATCAGACTAGGCTACTCCAGGGCTGGAAGGTCCCAGGCTTCTGAAGACAGCATTCTCCAGGCCTGGGACATAGGCCAAGGGAAGAGGCTGCTAGGGGCAGCCCTGACATGAACCTCCTTGCCCCGGGAGGTGCCATGCCAACACTGCATTCTCCACTTCTGATGAGGCCAAGAATCCCTATGGGCCTCAGGTCCTGGGGGATGGAGACCAATCAGGACCACCCAGAGAAGTCTTCCCAAGGCCACAGAGATGCTGGAGAGGGCCGGGACAGGCAGCTGCCCAGAAGCCAGAGCTGAGGATTTTGAATGAAGGAACAAAAGTACCCATCCAACAACAGAGGTCAGCAATAGGTTCCTAACCAGCGGCCTCTGTAGCCTGGGTTCTTTCAAGACATCCTCATTCTAATCAGGGCAGGAAGTACCGTAGCTCAGTTAACAGGATCTCTGTCCTTACAATCTGCAGATGCAGTTGTGCACACACAATGATGTTACAGCCGGGGGTCCAATGAGCAACGCAGGCAGCTCAGGTCAGGAAAACGAAGAGCCAGGTCAGCCAATGCTGCACAGAGAAGGATGGTATAGCGCCGACAGGGAAACAGGAGACAAGGCATTCCTGCCAGGGGAAGGGCAGAATATGACAGGAAATGAACAAACCTGTAGAATGCGAAGGAGGAGCCGGGCGTGGTGGCTCATGCCTGTAATCCCAGCACTTTAGGAGGTAGAGGCAGGTGGATCACGAGGTCAAGAGATCAAGACCATCCTGGTCAACACGGTGACACCCCATCTCTACTAAATACAAAAAATTAGCTGGGCACGGTGGCGCGTGCCTGTAATCCCAGCTACTCAGGAGGCTGAGGCAGGAGAAATGCCTGAACCCAGGAGGCGGAGGTTGCAGTGAGCCGAGATCGCGCCATTGCACTCCAGCCTGGGTAACAAGAGCGAAACTCCGTCTCAAAAAAAAAAAAAAAAAAAAAAAAAGTGAAGGAGGGGCTACGACTGAGGAGGATGAGGCAGGATTCAGCTCATACCTTGAGTGACCTGAAGTCATGCAGGCTAACAGGGCTAACAGTCCACTGCCCCCATGGTGATGGCCAAATGGAGGTGGGCAAGGGCTTATACCTGGGTGCTCCCCTAAGGTTCCCAATAGGGAACGTGGAGAATCCTCTCTCACCCCTGCAGGGCTCATTCCAAGCTCAGTTCAGTCACTATCTGCTACAAGTTGGCACAGCCTCACCCCCTCTCCAGATGCCCCAAGTACTGCTGCTCTACCAGTGTGGGTGCATTTGCAGAGCCCCTCCCCATCCGCTCCAGCCTTCTCCAACCCTGCTTCTCTTCTGAGCTCTCAGCCTCTATGTATGGGCTGAGCCTCCCCTTTCAGCAGCTGATGGTACCCTGTGCATCTCCTCCACAGAGTTTGCACACTCTCCTCCTTTCTGGAGTTTTCTATTTTTCCTCTTCCTATTTCCCTTTGCCCTGATTTCTTCAGCACTTTCTTATTATATTGTAGGTGGTTTTAAAACTTTTTGCATGTTGCTTTCACCTCTGTGGATCAAGACAAGGGTGTGTAAACCTTTTTGTTGTTTTGTAACTGTTAAGACTTTTTTCTGGGCTACCCTCTAAGCTTCCTGGATCCCTGTGTGGCAACTACAGCTCTCATTAGGCATACACTGCATCACGCATACAGTAGGCGCCTAATTCTTGCCTACTATTGGCAGTTTGATTAGCATCACTTAAGTCACTCCAGGCCACGCTCAATCACTAGTCCATTATATACAAGCCGGGATTATTAGAATCCCAACTCCCCCTACCCTTTTCACTGACATTGTGACCCACCAGCTCTCAGCAGAGCACAAGTAATTTGAGGGCATCGTCGCTGCTCCCTGACCTGCTTAAACATGTCCACACCATCAGAAGGCACCAGACCTGGGAGTCTCAGTAGAAAGAAGGAAGTTGCCAGCTAGTCCTAAGGCCGGCCTCACACACTCAGCCATAGCTTAGGGAGGAGCTGGGGCGTCTTCTGCCTCCTAAAGCCGGCCCAGAGGTCACAGTTCTGGCGTTGTCGAAGCCACAGGCCCAGGAGCGCCGAGAGGCAGCCTTAGGAGAAAGGTCTGCAAGGAGCCTGGCCGTGGGAAGCCGACCTTCTCCCTGAGCAGCCGCCAGGTGCCGCCCTCGATGGCGTAGAGCAGCGTGAACATGCGGTTGACCGTATAGACGGTGTCGCCGCGCACCACGGCCGTGAAGAGCGCTCCCTTGCTGTTGACGAACTGGCCGGGCAGCGACGTCCACTGGCCCGTAGCCAGGTTGAGGCAGTCGATGACACAGTGCAGGAAGTCGTCTGAAGGTCCGTTGCGCACCACGTAGAGGCTGTCGCGGTGTGCCACCATGCAGTGGCCATAGCTCTGTGGATGTCGCAGCTCGGCCACCGGCAGCCACGCGTCAGCCCGCGCCGCGTACTCCACCACAGCGGTGGTGTCAGCCGGCCGCCACAGGCACACAAAGAGGCGGCCACGCGCCTGGGCGCACGGCACGCTAGCGGCCGGCTGCGGCAGGTCGGCCACGAAGCTCCAGCAGCCGGCGGCCGGGTCGTAGCGCTCCACGGAGCTGATGGGGGTCCTCTGGAACTCGCCGCCGATGGCGTAGAGGCAACCGTCGAAGCCAGCCAGCGCCATGTCGTAGCGCGGCTGGTGCGTGCTGGGGAACTCGCGCCACGTGCCGCCATCCGGGTCGTAGCAGAAGCCCAGCTCCACCACCTCCTTGCTGGCGCCGCGCACTCCGCCCACGATATAAAGCTTGTTGCCCAGCGTGGCCACCCCGGCCAGCAACGTGCTGGCCTCCAGGGGCAGCGCGGCCAGCGTGCGCCACGCGTTCTCCTCCTCGTCCAGGTAGCACATCGTGCGCGACGCGTCCTCCAGGAAGCCCGGCGCGGGCGTGTGCGTGCTCACCGCCACGTAACTGCTGGGCCGCAGCTCTGCCACGTAGGCGCGGGCCTCGGGCAGCGCCAGCTCAGCAGCCAACTCACGCTCGCCGTCGCGGATGAAAAGCGCGGCGCTGTGGAACACGTCGCGCAGGCCGAAGGCGGCGGCCGCGTCGCACAGCAAAGCGCAGTTGTCCGACGTGAGGCTGTGCTCCAGGAAGCGCGCCAGCGCCGGCGCCTGCAGGAAGGCGGCGCACTCCACCGCCTGCAGCAGCTCGTCCTCCGCCGCCAGCGCCGGCCGCTCGCCGCGCAGCACCTGCAGCGTGGCACGGAAGCCGCCCGCGCTCAGAACGCCCAGGCGCACCTCGGCCGCGCGTGCCTCCCGCATGCCAGAGCGGAAGAGGCCGCGGAAGAAACCGCAGTGCTCCACCAGCAGGGCGCGGTCGGCCTCGAAGAGCTGGCCGCCCACCCACACCTGCACCGGGGTCTCCGGGCCCCGTAGCATGGCTAGCAGGAGGGGCGGAGGCCGCCGCTGGGGCCTTGGGTTCGCCGGCCACCGACTCTGGGGCTCCCCCAGCGAAAAACTTCCCTGGGGGCTATAAATATCTCTCCCTGGCTAAAGATAGTACAGCTCATGTGATGTAGTGGCCCACAGGCTGTATGGCTGCCGGCCCGGAGGGCATCTGGAGACCTGTGTGGTCACTCATTTCCTTAGAAGAAATGGTAATAATGACCATATACAGGGACCTGAAGCATGGTGGCGCACTGAGGGCTGCTACGGAGATACCTATTTCACCTGCATCTTTCCAGCTGTGTGGCCTCGTGCGAGTGTCCTAACTCCGTTCCTCATGTTCCAAATGGGGCCAGTAGGCCAGGCAAGGTGGCTCACGTCGGTAATCTCAGCACTTTGGGAGGCTGAGGGGGGTTGGTCACCTGAGCGGTTCATCCTCCTCCGCCATCGCCGGCTGCTCCACCGAGGGAGCTGAACACGTCCAGCACAGCACGGAAGCTGCCCACGCTCAGAACGCCCAGGCCACCTCAGGGGCGTGTGCCTTCCACCTGCCAGAGGGGAAGAAGCAGCAGTGCTCCACCAGCAGGGCGGGTCGGCCTGAAAGAGCTGTCCAGGAGTTGAGGTCAGGAGTTCGAGACCAGCCTGGCCAACATGGGGAAATCTGTCTATATTAAAAATACAAAATATACATATGTGTATGGCCGGGCGCGGTGGCTCATGTCAGTAATCCCAGCACTTTGGGAGGCCAAGGCAGGTGGATCACGGTGTTAGGAGACCGAGACCATCCTGGCCAACATGGTGAAACCCCATCTCTACTAAAAATACAAAAATTAGCTGGGCATGGTGGCGCGTGCCTGTAATTCCAGCTACTGGGGAGGCTGAGGCAGGAGAATCACTTGAACCCAGGAGTCAGAGGTTGCAGTGAGCCGAGATTGTGCCCCTGTACTCCAGCCTGGTGACAAATAAGACTGTCTCAAAAAAAAAAAAAAAAAAACTGGGCATGGCGCTAGCCTGTAATACCAGCTACTTGGGAGACTGAGGCACGACAATAGCTTGAACTCGGGAGGATGAGGTTGCAGTGAACCAAGCTCGCACCATTGCACTCCAGCCTAGGCAAAGGAGTGAGGCTCTGTCTCAAAAAAATATATAAAAATAAAAAAATAAAATGGGGCCAATAATAACACCTATTTCACAGTCTTGGGACAACATCTGAAATATTCTGGATGAGGCTGAGAGTTTAGGTAACTTGTCCAGGGCCATTCTGCTAGGAAGAAACTGAGACAGAATGAATACCCAGCCCCCCTCTTCAGCTGAGAGGAGTGTGACAGGCAAATTGGAGAATGAGGCAGAGATGGAGCAAATATCTTGGGCCAGACTGGGGCCCAGGACCAGGGTTTTAATTTGTCCTGGGCTTCCGGCCCTGACTCTGAGCCAGTCCAATCTCTCTTTGAGTCTCGGTTTTCTTCTCTGAAAAATGGGAAGGATAGGATAGCAACCCTGCTTTGCAGCTGAGCATCCCATAAAGCCTCCGACTTGGGGTGGGAATTGGAATTCCACACTTGCTGTGTGGCTCCAGGCCTTGGGGAAAGGAAGTGGGGCTGCCTAGGGGATCATATGCCTGTGGATGGGAAAAAGGGCTTCCTGAAATAATAGCTAACACTTAAATTGCATTGTGTGTCAGGCACTGTTGTAAGCACTTTATATTAACTCCTTGCAACAGTTGAAGGAATAGATACTATTATTTCTCCCCCCACCATGGATATTATCCATTTATTGCTTATAGCAACACTGTGAATTAGAAATTATTAATGGCCTTATTTCATATATATGAAGAGACTGAATTGCTGAGAGGTTTAGTCACATAGCCAGAGAGTGGCAGAAGTAGGCCTGGAATGCAGCTAAGCTAATTCAAGAGCAGGGGTCCCCAACCCCAGGGCCACGGACCTCAGGAACGAGGCCACGCAGCAGGAGGTGAACAGTGAGCAAGCGAAGCTTCGTCTATGTTTATAGCCACTCCCCATCCTCATTACTGCCTGATCGCTGCCTCCTATCAGATCAGTGGCAGCAGCATTAGATTCTCATTGGAGGGTGAATCCTGTTGTGAACTGTGCATGGGAGGGATCTAGGTTGCCTGGCCCTTATGAGAGTCTAATGCCTGATGATCTCTCACTGTCTCCCATCACCTCCAGATCGGACTGTTTAGTTGCAGGAGAACAAGCTCAGGGCTCCCATTGATTCTACGTATGGTGAGTTGTAGAATTATTTCATTATATGTTACAATAATAATATAAGTAAAGTGCACAATAAATGTCATATGCTTGAATCATCCCGAAACCATCTCCCCTCTGCCGTCCATGGGAAAACTGTCTTTCACAAAACTGGTCGCTGGTGCCAAAAAGGCTGGGGACCACTAGGGGGTATGCCCATACCATTGTGGTTTTTTTTTTTTGTTTTGTTTGTTTGTTTGTTTTGAGACAAGAGTCTCACTCTGTTGCCCAGGCTGGAGTGCAGTGGCGTGATCTCAGCTCACTGCAACCTTCGCCTATTGGGTTCAAGTGATTCTTTTGTCTGCTCCCATAGTAGATAGGACTACAGGCATGCACTACCACGCCCGGCTAATTTTTGTATTTTTAGTAGAGACGGTTTCACCTTGTTGGCCAGGCTGGTCTTGAACTCTTGATCTCAAGTGATCCACTCTCCTCGGCCTCCCAAATTGCTGGGCCATACCACAGTGCTCCGATGCCTCTCTGTGCTACGAATGCTGGGTAGAGACCTTGTGTCAGGAGGGCATATTTGGAAGGCACTTCAGGCTCATAATGGTTCAATCCTCTCACTTACAGTGGAGGACTTGGGGCAGAGGGAAAAGGGAAGTGCCCAGGGTCTTGTAGCTTGAGGCAGACAGCCTCAGGCCTCCTGCTGCCCACTCCATGGCACTTTTCCCACTGCATGGCACTATTCTGGGTGACCAGCCAAAACTATGGGTCCCAAAATGGAGCCGGGGATGGAATGGAGCTTAATGAGTATCTCCACCTGCCACCTTATTCTAAGGTGAGGAAGCTGAGGCCCAGACATGTGTAAAATGGTATCTGCCATTCAGATGTTCAGCTGCCCCATCCTTACCTGCAGGCCTTCTTAGGGAGGATGGGTGGCTCGCAATGACCAAGTAGAAGGTGGGAAGAAGGCAGGGTAACTTCTCTCCCCCTTAGAATACGCATAGATCTTCACGTATGAATCTGCAGACTCAACAGGAATGTGCCCCCCGCCCCCCGCTAGGGAACTCCCACCCAGTTCGTTCCATCAAAGCAGTGATGGGATGTGGGGAGCACTTGGGTGAGCCTGGGAAGCCAGAGGCCTGGAGGAGGCAGCCAGAAATATCTCTGACTCTGCCCCAGGGACCAGACAGGAAGAGGAGGAGGAGATGGGGGGATGGGTGGGCAGGAGTCCCCACGAATACTATCCCAGGCCCTCTGCCAGCTTCTCTCTTTCCCCAAGGCCGGATATTGGCTGAATGGCCTGGGGTGCCCAGGCAGGAAATATGACAGTCCCAATCTTGGGGACCAGTGGGCTCCCAGTGCTGGGTCTTGACAGTGTCCTTCCTTGCTGGTGGCTTTAGTGGTAGGAAGAGGGTATCTGTTCCCATTTCACAGATGAAGAAAGAAAGGCTTAGAAATGAGCTGGACTTTTCCTTGGTTATGAATGGGGATGTGGGGCTGAACTGAACCCCGCCCACTGACCCCAGCTGCTTCTCCTCACCTGCACTAGTCTTGCCTGGGGGGGATGGGGGGGGAAACAGTTGCCTCCTGCTGGGGGCAAGGCTGCGGAAGACTGACTCCCAGGGGCTATCTGCTGCATAGTACTGGGACCATAGTTCCCTCCCAGATGGCCTGTTTCAGACACCTAGTAACTGGCAGACACAACCAGATGGAACCATTGCGTGGCCCTCTCCAGAGAGCAGGAGGGGGAGGGAGCGCAAACCCCTCCTGGCTGAAGTTTGCTCTCGGCTTGATTTTTTCCAAGTCCGGCCCTGCCTTGAGTGGGCTGGGGCTTGTGCACACACCCAGTTTCCACCTTCAGCAGCCAGGCAGTGGGGAGGGGGTCACCCAAGGTGGGGGTTCATGTTTTCCTGAGGCTGGGCTGAGGATCAGCCCTTTTGTCCCACCCCCAAGGCCCCAGTGGGGTGTTGCCTGCAGCTGGGGAGAGTTTCCTCCTCCTGGACACTGAGTGTCCCTCTGGGATTTGGAGAGGACAAGGAACTATCCCGGCTGTGGGCAGCCCACAGAGTTCCCAGGCCCTGCTCGACCCTGCACTAACCTCCCTCTCCACTCTGCATCCCCCACACTGGGTGAGGTTGGGGATGGGGGCAAAGAAAGGAGAAAGGAGGCTGCCTCAGACTCTGAGCCTTTCTAGAGCGCAGACCTAGTGTTGTTCATCCCTGTATCCACAATGATTGGCACACAGTAGGCGTCTGTTAAGTAGACTCTCTGGGATGCTAACCTGTGGGAGTCTCCAGTCTGATAGAGAAGCTATGACCCTTGACCTGGGAGACATGCCCACCCTCTGAAGTCCCGTGGGAATGCCCTGGCCCTTGTCACTCATGAACGTAGGTGTTTGTGCATACAAGGTAGTGAGTGACTTGTACTGCCTGGACCTGGAGAAGGAAGAGCACTGGACTGGGAGTCAGGATTCCTGCCTGGGCTCTGAGGCTGTTACCACCACTGCCTTACAAAAGCTACCCGAACTCTTCAGGCTACAGTGCTTCATCTGTCCAGTGGAATTTGAATCTGACTTCTAAGGCTCAGCTTTGACATCTGAACTTATCATTCAACAAGCACAGAAGTGGTTGTCATGTTGTGCCTCCAGAAGAGGCAACCACATCACCAGAGGATACCAAAAGCTTAGCTTTATATAAAGTGGCTCCTGGGGATGGGTGGCAAGGGTAGGCCCTGCCATCAGGAAAACCTCACAGGCCCTACATGTCTAGACCTATATTTGCTCCAGTCGTTCACTCCAGAGATACCAAGTGAGCACCTGCTGCATACCGACTGCTGGGCATGGTGCCACATCCTTTGCATTTTGAGTGCCCAGGAACTCCTATGAAACCCTCGATGGGGGTTGGGGATAGAGGGTAAGGAGAGTTGGGGTACTTGCCCTAGCAGAATAACCTCTCTCTTGACCTGAAGCATATATACAAATGTCACTAAACGTTTAGTGTGGAAGTCACTAAACAGTTGTGACTTCTTTGTAGGTGGATGAGAAATGTGTGCCATTTATATCCAGAGAAGGAGAGGGAACTAACCCTATTTCTTCAAGCTCTGAATAGGACACATGTCATCTAATATACTTCTTGATATTGTCCCTGTTTTATGTTATTTTGAGACAAGGTCTCGCTCCGTCACCCAGGCTGGAGTGCAGTGGTGCAAATACAGCTCACTGCAGCCTCGACCACCTGGGCTCAAGCTATCTTCCCACCGTGGCCTCCCATGTAGCTGGGACTATGGGTGCACGCTACCATGCCCGGCTAATTTTTTTTATATATGTTTTTGTAGAGACAGGGTTTCATGATGTTGCCCAGGCTTGTCCTTATTTTAAAGATGAGGAACTGAGGCCCGGAAAGGCAAAGTAGTTTATTCCAGGGTCTAACAGTAGCAGCCCATGGGTGAGGAAACTGGGGATGGAGAAGGGCTGGTCGCAGCCGTGAGGTGGGCACTGTTTTCTTCTCAAGGCTCAGAAGAGGGGCAGACTTTGAGCACTGACCTGTCATAGCTCAGGGTCCCAGCAACCAGCTGGCCACCAGCTCAAATAATCTCTGAACTAGAAGAGAATTAAGGGTCATGATAGAGTCTTCTCTACAACACTTTCTTAAAGTGGTCACTCCCTTGGTTGCTGCCACTGTCAGGGGAGAGGGGTTCAGTTCCACCAAAGACAGTCCTTTCTAACTATGGACAGTCAGATGGTTACAGAGTTCACCCTCGGACTGAGCTAGAATCTTGCAGCTCCCATCTCTTGGTTGGTTAAGTTTAAAGATGAGGAACTGAGACCAGATAGATGTCAAGTAACATCCCAGCATCACTCAAGCTGGGAAGTAACAGAGCTTAAGTTTCCCTGCAGCTGGGCCGGTGCAGGCCCAGAGCTAGCCCTGTCTCCAGCAGTCATCCATGGAGATGATTGGTTTTAACCCCACAGGCCCCATCTGGAACCAGTCTGTCTTCACAGGATGGGTCAGCCCAGGGATGTGGCTGGAACTTGGCTCCCACTTTCTCAACTCCTATAACTCAAAGGAAAACCCTTGGCCATTAGCTATATGACTAACTCTGGCCTGAGAGTGTAATCTAAACAAATTCCACCCAATACCTTAAAACACAGCTGGTTTACCATGATACCCCCAAAACACAACTAAACCGAGTCAATATCCACATCCTGGCCAGGAAAATAATTGTTCTCCGTTGAAGAGACGTTATTACCGTCCAGGTCTGACCCTGGGCCCTGCCTGCGGACTGGTTTTCCGTGGTTCCTCTCTGGGTGGGTGGGTGGGTAGATGAGTTAACCATCTGGGGGAAGCAGGAGGAGAAGGGCTCCCGGGAGAGGTCTCTCAGGTCCCCACGCCTTTCCACACTCTAGCCTGGAATGTGCTCCTGAAGAGATGCCTCACACGGTTCTAGAATGTACACAGGCTGGAGCCCAGAGCTGATTCTGTCACTCTCTATTATGGCTCATTTCCCCTTCCTTTAGTATTTATAGATGGGGATACCAAAGCCCAAAGAAACAAGGTGGCTTGCCTGAGATCACTCCTGGAAGGAGCTAAGCGCGCAGGGTCGTGGTGTGGGCCCTCTGGCCTGTCTTCGGTATGACCAGATTTATCCTGAGTCCCAAGGGGAATGAATGACCAGGTGACCCCTGCCAGGCTCACCACCAATCCCAGAATTGCTGTAGGCAGGAGGCGGTGCCAGGTTTTAGAACAAACACCCCATTTACACAACAAGCTACCAACACATGCAACTCATTAGTTCCCATTAGGGAGAGACAGTAATTCAGGATGGATTAGGTTTCTTGAAGCTGAACCCACATTGGCCCTGAAATCTTAGTAAGGGGTTCTCTCTGCCCCCCCGCCCCTCCCAGAAGCCTGGGTTCTGCAGTGAGGCCACTACCGTCTTCACAGGAAAGGGCAGAATAGTGTGATTGGGGATATAGAGTGCCAAGGCTGAGCTAAAGAACGGGCAAGGCTTGGAATTGAACCCGGGAAGCTTCCTGGAGGAGGAGGCGGGGCCCGCTGGTAGAACAGAGGGAGGGGTGGATTTTCTTGCTGGTGAAAAGATTGAGTGGGAGGTTGGGGAAGAGTGCAAACATCCCTCCCCTCTATCCCTCTATCCCTGGGAATCCCTCTCTGTGCTCCTTCCCGGCAGGGTCCGGGTACGCTCGGGAGGGTGACGGGGCCGAGACCCGCGGTGGGGGCGCGGCTGGCCGGAGCTCCCTCCCCGCGCCGGGAACCGAGTTAGCGCGCCCCGCGGGGGGCTTCGCAGCCCTTACAAGGAGTTTGGTGGCGTTAGGGCGGCCCCGCCCGCGGGCTCCACCGGCCCCTCCTCCCCGCCGGGTGGTAGCCAGCTGGGAGCTCTACGCCGGGCCGAGGGCGCGGACGCCGACGGGGCCAGGCCTGCGCGCGCCAGGGAAGCTCGCGCCCCGCTCTCCAGGGCCCCGACGGGCAGGGCGCTGCGCGGGGCCCACCGGCCGTAGACCTGCGTGGCTCTCCAGGGCGTCGCCATGTCCTCAGTGTTTGGAAAACCCCGCGCGGGCAGCGGGCCGCAGAGCGCGCCCCTCGAGGTGAACCTGGCCATCCTGGGACGCCGAGGGGCCGGCAAGTCCGGTGAGTGGCGCGGGGGACCCTGAGCCGCCGGTTGCAGAGCTGGGCGTGGGTGGGGGGACAGTGCTCTGTGTACTTGGGGGCAGGTTCTTCCACTGGCTTGGGGAGCCTCCTTCACCCAGGTGGGTCGCACAAGACTCCGTGATTTTCTTTGCCTCAGTTTCCCTGTTGCCGGCCTTTCTTTTCTCCCGGCTTCCTGCTCAGCTCCTCCGTCTTCTGTCTCTGCCTGCCTCTTCCCTTTGTGTCTTCCCACTGTCTCTGTCCCCCGTGTCTGTGAGCCCTGCTGTCTCTCCCCTCTCTCTGTGGGAGTGTGTCTCGGGAGTCCCCTACTACCAACCTTCCAACCCCTACCCCCACACGCTCTCTCTCTGGGGCCAGCAGTCGGTCTTGGCAACGGGCTCTAAAGGGACCTGTTCGCACTGATCCCCCCCCCCCCCCCCCCCCCCCCGCCCGAGGAGACTCTTGGAGTTTAGTCGCAGCCTTGCTACTCCCTGATTAGGCTTGGGGGAAGACTTCCCGTCCAACCCCTCCCGCTCCACACCCAACCCGCTTGGAAGGGAGCTGGTGAAGTCACTAGCTATTGAGATTTCTCAGGGACTGTTCATTCCCGCACTCCCACCCCCATTCCCTGGGATTCTGGGACCAGTTGTGCATTCTTATAAAATTTGTTTGTTTCGAGCCAGACCCCTCTCAACTTTCTGGAAACACATTGGGTTATGGTTCCAGGTGCCTGGGATTGTCCTTGATGAGCAAGATCTTGGGCTTCCATTGAGATAATTTGTGTCAACTCTGAACTATGTCACTCCTGGAAAGAGGGAGGGCAGAGGGGGTCCTCCATTGGCTGTTTTTCCAACTGTAGCCATCAGTGATGGCCAACCCGAGCTCAGCTGGCTGTGGGTTTCCTCCCCAGAGTGTTCTGTGAGACACACTGGGGTCTACTCTCTGATTTTGAAGCCAGCCCATCCGGGTCAGAGAGGGGACTCTGAATCTGATTTTCCTACAGAAGGGATTACCCTCTTCCTTTGAAAGATTTGCCCTTTGAAAATCAGATTGTTACCCGTAACTGTAACTGGTACAGTTTAACCAGTGACTATATGAAAGAAAATTTGAATTTTAAAATGCGTATTCCCTTGGTATTAGTTTGCAAACTGACACTGTTAGGAACCCTGGGAAACACTCTTAAGGATTTTATTCACGATGTCACTTTTTTTTTTTAAGACATGTCATGTCTTGCTCTGTCACTCAGGCTGGAGTTCAGTGTGCAGTCATGACTCACAATAGCGATCCTCCTCCTCAGCCTCCTCTAGCCTCAGCTAGGTCTATAGGCATGCCACCATGCGTGGTTAATTTTTAATTTTTTTAGAGATAGGGTCTCACTATATTGCCCAGGCTGGTCTCAATCCCCCAGCCTTGGCCTCCCAAAGCACTGGAATTACAGGCATCACATTACTTTCCTTTGTCTCTCTTTTTCTCTCCTTCCCTCCCCTCCCCTTTCCTCCCCTCCCCTTTCCTCCCCTCCCCTTTCCTCCCCTCCCCTTCCCCTTCCCCTCCCTCCCCCTTCCCCTCCCCTCCCCTCCCCTTTCCCCTCCCCTTCCTTCCCTTTCTTTCCTACCCCTTCCCCCTTTCCCCCCCTTCCCCCTCCCCTCCCCTTCCCTCCCCTTCCCCCTCCCCTCCCCTTCCCTCCCCTTCCCCCTCCCCTCCCCTTCCCTCCCCTTCCCCCTCCCCTCCCCTTCCCTCCCCTTCCCTCCCCTCCCTTCCCCTTCCCTCCCCCTTCTCTCCCCCTCTACTCCCCTCCCCTCCCCTTTCCTCCCCTCCCCTTTCCTCCCCTCCCCTTCCCTCCCTTTCCCTTCCCTCCCCTCCCTTCCCTCCCCTTCCCCCTCCCCTCCCCTTCCCTCCCCTTCCCCCTCCCCTCCCCTTCCCTCCCCTTCCCCCTCCCCCTCCCCTCCCCTCCCCTCTCCCCCTCCTTCCCCTCCTCTTTCCTTCCCTCCTCTTCCCCTCCCCTTCCCTTCCCCCACTCTTCTCCCGGGTCTCCCTCTCCTCTCTTTCCTTTCCCTCCCTTCCCCTTTCCTTCCCTCCCCTCCCCTTCCCTTCATCTTTCCCTCCCTCCTTCCTTCTTTCTTTCTGGCTCCAAAGGGACTCTTTTCTTTTCTCTCTCTCTCTCTCTTTCTGTCTCTCTCTTTCCTCCCTTCCCTTCCCTCCCTCCCTCCCTCCCTTCTCTCTCTTTTTCTTTCTTTTCTTTTCTTTCTTTTCCCTCCCTCCCTCTCTCCCAAACAAGCAGTAGTGAACATTACTTTTTGAGGGTTCAATATAGTAGTTGGTTGGTCCTTGCTTTATGTGGCTGCACTCTGAACTTAGAGAGCTTAACTCTTGAGTTTTACATTTTGGGGAGATACCTGTGTTGAGTGTGAGGCCCCAGGGAGAGCCAAGACTTGCGATATGGAGGACCAGGACCAGCGTGTGTTTCTTTGGGACACGGGACTTCGTCTGGAAATCCCAGCCGCTTGGGAATTTATACCCTACCCAAGGATCAACCACTGATCAACTCTGCTCATCCTGTGTTTTTGGCTTGTAGCCAAAGTCTGGAATAAATAGCCCCACACTTCAGAATCTTTGTGATTGGTCCGGGGTGGGGAACGCCTCCCTTCGGTTGGGGTTTCACCAGGCCGACTCTAGGGTAATGGTGGCATGTGTCCTGACCGCTGAGTCCATACCTTCACAAACACCCCTTAGGCTCGCCTCTCATTGCTTTCCTAGCCATTAAAAGAAAATTTCAGGGTGCGATTAGAGTCACTTGGCTCTCCCCCTATTTCTGGTTTCTTCTGAACCTCTCAAAGTAATCCCTCAGTTCCCTAGCTTCGTTCTCTGGGAGAGCTGAGGTTGGTGTCAGGTGGAGATCACAGAGGTGAGATAAGGCCTCCCTAAAACAAGGGGCCAGCAGCTGGACACAGCAGGAGAGACAGAGCCAACCTCTTTCTGCTTCTTGCAGCCCTGACCGTGAAGTTTCTGACCAAGAGGTTTATCAGCGAATACGATCCCAACTTGGGTAAGAAACGACTCCTCCCTGTTCCTCCTCCTACCTGCACCCCACTGGAGTGCCCCCTGGGACCTGCCCCGTGGGTGGGTGCCGACCAGGACTGCACGTCTGGGGAGAGAAGGAAGAAGCTGCCAGCATGAGTCAGCCCGTGGGGGAAGATATTTTAAGTGTCAGAAATAGCCCACCCCAGACAATCGGGGGGTTGGCCTAGTTCATATAACTAAGAGAGGCTGATTTACCCTAAAACAGGAGGTGTGATGAAAGTTAAGAAAATGAAAATAAACATACCAGGACATCCACATCCAAGCAAGTATTCTTCTTGGGCCGGGCACAGTGGCTCAGCCTGCAATCTCCGGACTTTGGGAGGCCGAGGCAGGTGGATCACCTGATGTCAGGAGTTAATGACCAGCCTGGCCCACAGGGAGACACCCCGTCTCTGCTAAAAATACGAAAGTTGGCTGGGCATAGTGGCATGCGCCTGTAATCCCAGCTTCTAGGGAAGCTGAGGCAGGAGTATCGCTTGAACCTGGGAGGCAGAGGGTTGCAGTGAGCCGAGATTGCACCACTGCACTCCAGCCTGGGCAACAGAGTGAGATTCCATCTCAAAAAAAAAAAAATCAAGAAACAAATAGGTATTATTCTTCAAGATGGTCACTCAGTGTTCTCTTCCAGAAAATCTAGGCAAGACGTTTGAGAAATTCTCCAGTGGAGTTGCTTCTGAACCAGTTTTTAACCGTGTGAGAAAACAGCTCTCGGTATTGCTGCGTCATGGTATACTGGAGAAAGGAATGTTTCGGTGTCAGTCAGAGCTGGGTTTCAATCCTGCCTGGCTCTGCCCCTCACTGGCAACTGGAGCCAGTCAGCTAACCTCTCTGAGCTGTTTTCTGGTCTGTAAAATGGGCATTAAAAGTACCTATCTCAGAGAATTGCCGTGAGGATTAAAGCAGTAACACACGTGGAAGCTCCGGCCTAGTACTTGACCCACAGCAGGCACTCAATGCGTTTTTGCTTTTCCTTCCTCCTCAGATGGCTTCCTGTACACAATGGCTTCGATTCCCTTCTAGAACAAATCAAAGCAGGATTTTATCAGCATAAGTGTAGCTTGAAGCTCACATGTATAACATTTTTCTGTTGTAAACTGTTCACTGAGAGCAATAAGGTTGTCTGGGTGATTGTAGCCATTTGTTTTGCTTTTTGGGTTTGAGATGGTGTTTTGCTTTGTTGCCAGGCTGGTGTGCAGTGGTGCGAACTCCGCTCGCTGCATCCTCTGCCTCCCGGGTTCAAATGATTTCCCTGCCTCAGCCTCCCGAGTAGCGCCACCACGCCCAGCTAACTTTTGTGTTTTTAGTAGAGACGGGATTCACCATGTTGGCCACGATGGTCTTGATCTCAATTCACCTCGTGATCCACCTGCCTCAGCCTCCCAAAGTGCTGGGATTACAGGCGTGAGCC